CTCAGATATTGGTTGCTTTGACCAGCCCCTCCATTGGATTGGGCTCCTCATAAGGGCCATGTATTGAGGATCCAAGGCATGAAGAAAGTGACAGTCTGGCTTCGATAAGCCGTGCCCTATTTGAAATTCTGTATTTCCTCACACTGCATGGAGAGCAAGGCTGTAATAGCATAATCTTTCTCATTTACATTTTCCTTCAGTGTAGAGCTGTCCCAGAGAAAAAGACTCACTGGAGCTCAGGTTATTCAGGCATATTGACTGCCTGATAGTTGTCACTCCTACATAGCTGCATCATTCCTTGGTGCTAAACTCATTTGTGAAGATAGAGGTGTGGTGGGAAATGACACCCACCGGTAGCAGCAAGTGGTAAAATTTAAAAGAGTTTTCATTTACTCATTTTACAGTGTGATATATTGGGGTTATGCTAAGTTATTGGTATATTTTATTGGTGCCTTCTATTTTTATAGGGTTTTTTTTTTCTTTTCTTTCTTTTTTTTTTTTTTTTCCCCTGACTCTATTTAACTCCTTAGCCACCTTCCAGACAATCTTTATTTCTGTGACAATCATGGCATGACAAGAAAAAGTCAGCTGGCATGAGTGGTTTCCTCCCTGCTTCTTCAGCCTGAAGTCAAATTAATTCTGGGTCATCAAGAAAGCTGCAAGGAATGGCCTGTGAGCAAGGACAGGAAGGACTTGTGTGACATTAGTTCATACTCTCACCTTTCCCTCCTGAGCTGTAAGTGGTCTTCAGTTTACCACGACAAATGACCTGGCTTTATAAAAATGAGGGCCAAGATTTACTGCAGCTGTTGTTTGATTTCAACTTTCAGTGCTGTATCCACAGCAGTGTTTGTAGCCAAAGCTCCACAGAAAGGCAAAAGTACCAATAAATTTGAAAAAAATAAATAAAATCTGTAGGCAATCTGTTATTTTATATTAATGTTTTTTGACTATGTGACTGTTACTTTAATGACACATTTTTGCCCACTGTATTCAACTGCTGTGGATAGGCAACTGGCCGAGTTCAGCAGCACAGTTCACAGTGACTGGAGAAATAAGGAATATGCACACAGTATTGTGGTTTAACTCAGCAAGCAGCTAAGCACCATGAGTATTTTTGTTCACTCTCCCCCACAGTGGAATGGGGGAAATAACTGGAAAGTAAAAAGGTAAAGCTTGTAGACCAAAATAAAATTATTTACTAAGAAAAAAAAGAGAGAAATAACAGCAATGATAGTAATATATATGTGTGTTTATGTATATGTAAGTCGCCCTTAAAAGTTATGCCTCCTATTTATTTCCATGTAAACTACAGATGCAAAAAGAGCAAAGCAGATACAAAGAGCACAGTAACACTATTTGAAAATGCTAATTTCATCTACAAAAAACACTGTTTTTCAACACTGTCACCACCACTATGCATTTTCACCAGTGTTGAGCAATAGCCTGCATGATGTGCTTGTAAAAATATGCACAAGCAGAGGTTGTGCATACAACCAACAAGACACTGTTGCTGTCTCCAATGCTGAAATTCACTGTTCACCTCACTGTGCTCATACCGACTATTTGGTCTCCATCAACATTCATCAAACATTGATGAATATCTATGGGTGCAATTTTTTCATCCATGGGTGCATGGAGGAATTCAGTGACACACCTTTTCTTCATTTGCACTTCTGTGTCAGACAGCAATCTGTCAGACTGTTCCTCTGTTGCTATCTGTTGCATGACAAAAACATGTAATGGAATACTAGTAGGAAGGTTCTGTCTCTACAAATATCATTGAGGTTAACTCCAGTAGAGAAAAAAAGTTGATAACAGTGGTTTAAAGATGCCAGGTCTGCTACTCTTCTAAATGCCTGCCATTTTCAGAATTGTAAAGTACAGAAAACTCTGAAGTTTCTTTCCAGTTATGATTGTTTTGGTCAAAGACAGGTGTCCAGGTATGTGTGTATTAAATAAACTTACAGTAAAACAGGAGCTATCACAATTGTTGCTTATCCTTATCTATATGTGTCTGTGCATAAATATTTACGATCTTAATGTGGTTTTTAAAACAGCATTAATGAAAGACCAAATTCAAACCTTGAATCACTTCTGTGGTTAACAAAAGAGCTGAGATTCAAGTTTTTACATAATGCCTTGTTTTCTGAGTAAATGTAGTCATTTTATTATCTAAATGCTATTCTGACTCTTTTGAGGGTTTTCAGGCTTTCTCATTTGTTTGCTCTCTTCTTCCTCTGATTTATAAACAGGTAAAAAGCAAGTAAAAAAATTGAGTCAAATCCTAAAGTTAGAATAGGCTAGCCTCAAAGCATTTGTCATCAGTTCTAGAAATTCAGTTTAGCACAGTGAAACTGACAAGTCACTCTCCATGATGACGGATGACAACTTAGTAAAGGAGAAGAAAAAGAGTCATTTACCAAGCTTCTATTTTTTGATGTAAACAAGGGAGGTCATGTCTATCTGATATGAATGTTCATTCCAGTTATGATCTCAGCTGTGAAAAGGTTGCACGACAGTAGGTTTAGGCAACAATATTCACTTTATTGCCAGGGAAATTGGAATAGTTGAGCTTCTAGCCGTTCTTTTTTTTTTTTTTCCCCCTGTAATACTTATGGTTTTTTTGGTTGTTGTTGCTTTGTTTGTTTGCTTGTTTGTTGTTGTTGTTCTCTTTTATCTACACCATGCCACACTGCACTAACACGAAAGAGTAATTCTGACCCAGCTCCATACTCTCCCACTCAGCCACCAACGGAAAAACTTTCAAGGAGTACCATAGGCAGGAATCTTTTCTGACAATTCTTTGTGAGACCATATGTAGTGCAAATTGTTACAAAATTAGTTCTGGAGTTGACATGTATTTTTATTTTCTGGAGAAGATGACTTGTCCCTCCTTGTGTTGGTCTCTTCAAGCTGATGTGTTCAGAACTCTTTTCCTGCACTCCAACCCAAGTTTTACAGTAATGCATACAGAATGCATATTTTTACCTTTGACTAGCATCTCTGTGGCTGCCCTAGCAAGCACTCTCTACCTTATGGAGACAGGACAGACACATGCTGCTAAATGACTGAATCAGCTAGTAGTTATTGTCTCTCCTTGGAGAAATAACAGGAATAACAACACTTTGTAGGGATGTTCATGCCACCATGATTTTTCTGTTTGCATATTTAGGAAAGCTTCTAATTTTATTTTATTTTTCTTTTTAATAATTCCCACTGTCTCACTTAATTTAAAGGCTGTTTATGAAGTCCACTTCTGAATGGATATGACATAGCTGTGAAAGAAGGACTTGGAGACAGAAAAGCAAGTTATTGTAGTAAGTAGACTTAGACTATGTTCCTATCCAGGAAAGATTTTCTGAGAGACAACAAAACCTACTTTACATTTTGCTGACTGCCTCATTCTTACTAAGTAGCACTATCTGATGTAAAATGCATCACATGATGCTATGCAGTGCTCCACTGGCTAGGTCTCACCAAAGGAAAGCAGCCTCTTCTTCACGATCTTTTTTACACACAGTGGTAATGTGGTAGATAGCAGAACTTCCTTTCTTCTGATGGAATGAGATCTGCATATGACAGCTTCCGATAATATTGTTGTGCTACAGTCTTACTTAGCTTTTAGGAATGAGTCAAACTGACATTTCAGTACCCTAAGATAGCAATTTAAAAAAATCTGAGCTGTGTTGTGATTTTTTACTTGCTTAGACCCAGAGAATCATATGAATGTTTGTTGAAGGGGACCTCTGAAGGTCATCTAAGCCAGCCTCCCATTTGAAATGCTGCTGCCGTTGCTCGTTTAGATGTGGATTTGTCTAGCTGAGTCTTGAAAATCTCAAAGTACAAAAATTGGTCACCTCTTCTAACCTGCACTATCTCTGGCTGAAGAAGTTTGTCTAATGCCCAATATAAACCTTGAACACATCATCTGCCCTGTGCCAGATAGTGTGGCAATACCTAGAAGTTTAGTTCTGTTGTCCTAACAGCTCTTCATACAACTGTCAGCTGCTGTTACACCATCTCCTTGACCCTTCCTCCCCAAGACTAATGATATCCAGTTTCCTCAGCTTCTCCCTGTACAGGATGCTCTTCCAGCCTCTAACTGTCTTAATGGCCCTTCTGCCAGAGTATCAGCAATACCGTAGTTCTATATGCAACAACAGACAAATCCACACACTCCTGAGTGTCAGGGCAAATCCAAGTGTCATATCAAATTACTGGAATCCTTATTTTAATGTCAGTATTGGAGGGAGTAGGAAGATGGACTCATGTTTTCCTGTTCAACAGCATCTGGTGTCTACACCTATCACAGCACTCCTGCAAGTTTTTACAGTCTGCAATAGAGCATGTAGATAGAACTGCTTATTGAATGATCCATTTGCCTAGATATATGAAAGCTTCCATCACAAAGATGCCTAGTGATCCACAATAGTACATAGACTTATCCAGGTTTAGAGGAATTCTCCTAATGTCAATGAAAGTCTAGTAAGTACCAGTTAGTCATTTTCAACAGCAGAAAGCAAATATCAGACAGCAAGAATCATTCACATTTTCTATATTTTAAATGGAGGGCTAAGAACATTCTGAATAATTTCAGAGTTGAGTATTCAACAAAATACAACGTTCTCTTTAAAAGTTGAAAAATATTATATGGAGACTACGCCTTTATTTGGTATATTTTATTCCTTTGTTTCTTTTCTTTTTACAACAGTGTTTAGTTCACAAAAAAAATAGGGATCATTATAACATGTAAAATTTTTAAAAGATTTCCTGAAGAAAAGGCTTTCTTTTTTTATGGAGCTATCAAAAATATGACTAAAAATAAAAATGTTTTTCTCTCATCGAGGAATGGATCTGCCAAATGGTATTTCTATAGGAAATCTAAGTCACATTGGATTACCACCCGGATCTATCCAAGTTAAACTACTGTCAACCTGAAGCAATCAAAAATGCTCATGTTATCAGGAATTTATGAAATATGTTTAGAATCACATTACCTGAGGAGTTTTGCCTTTCAATCTTTTAACAATGTATTGAAGAGGAAGGATCTGGAGAAATTCATTTTGCCACTCTAAAGGAGTTAAAAGTGGAGGAATGAAATCAGAAAAGTTCAGGTTCACAATTAAAAGATAAAATTGTAAAGTTATCTTCATACTCACTCCTTCAATAAGGAGAAGAGCATGGAGTTAGGCTTTTGATACAATTAATTATACAAAGAATAGATGCAATTTTGTGATATTCTTGGGCTCAGGTTTCTAAATTCAGAGCTAATTTTACCATCAGATGAACATTTGTGAAATTAATTAACTAATTTGAAAAACTCTGAGATTCACTAAACAAAAAAGATTGACCCTGCCCTTTTAAAGACTTCTATTGATCAGAAATTGCTCAGTTAAATTTGATCTTTCTTTATACATAAGTTATATTAACATTATTCAAACAATTTAGATATCCAACTTGTAAAAAAATATTAATAAACTAGAAATTGTAATGTGTAAAATAGAAATAACATCCTGCATATATTCTAAAGAATTGTATGCCTATAAAATTCAGCCATCAGTTTTGAAAGCAATTCCTGAGAATCAGCTACCAGTTTTTAGACACCCATCATACTATACACACATGGTTGTAAACTCATTCGTCCATTTTCACCAGGATGTCTGCATTTGGCTGAAGCTGAGGAGCAATGTCTGCATTTTCTAAATGCTCAACATACTCTTTGCTTATTTGGACCCTGTCTTCTTGGCAGATGGACAGGCTACTTCAACTATTTGGAGTATTTGATACGGAGTAGCTGGTGTCTTTGTCTCCATGGGCTTTGGAACTTAATGCAACTTGAAAGGGCAGCCCAGATTGTGTTAAGGCTCATAGGTCTCAAATTATCACCATCTTATAGACTACATTTACTGAAATTTATAGGGCTGCCTCAACAAGGAGAAAGCAAAGGAAATTAGACAACATCCTGACCAGTTAGCCATAGCTACAGATTTGACTTCTGGGATCACATCACAGAGTATTCAGGTAACCAGTGCCTGAAAAACAGGATGATTGAAATAGCATGGTGGTAACCAAGTCCATTTCTGCAGCAAGAATATTCTTCGTAGAATAGTAGAGTTAAAAGCAAAGTCCTATCGACTGGACACTGCTGTCATCCTGATTACATCAGGATAAAGCCAAAGTAACCGTTGACATATGCTGCAACATTTTGAGCTGATCCAATATTGCATGACAATAATATTGAAAAGCCCATCTTTGATTTTTCAGAATGGTGGTTCAAATTAAAAATTCACTTGTGTAATTCTGCAGCTATACTTATTTCTAATCAATGGGAATACATTGCTTATTGTATCCTGACTGGGAAAAAGTCAGTAGGCTACAAAAAAAAAAAAGACTGTCTGAATGTCTGAAGGCATTAATAAAAGTGTAGTTCTCTACAAAGGAAGAAGTTGCTCACTGATGATGGAGAGAGGGGTTTTTTTGGTCTGTGTTAGGAGCCCCACACTTTCCTCAGAAGTAGAGTCCAATTGCAATTAAGTATATACTAACTCAGTGTCAATTAAGGATAACGGTATTTCCCAACATGTTATTTTAGATCTTTGAGGGCAATATGATTTTGTTGACTTTTATTCACGAACGAATCAACAAGAAGATTTGTAGTGTTTCTTAGGCACAACAGAACATCAATACTCTTGTATTTTTAATAATGATCTTATTTGCTATACTCTTGGCAGCCTTGGTGCATATTAGTTTCATTGCTGACAACATCAGTGGAGCCAAAATAGTTACTGTAGGTGGATTCTGTTGAGTTTAATTGGAATGTGTGGGGTCACAGCATATCTATTTCTAAATTTAGCATTGTTGTTTTGGGACCAGTGCCCTGTATCAGCCCAATTTGCTGTGCTTTTGATACAGTTTGAAGAGAGGATATGTTGTCTGTTTAAAAGAGTAACTTCTGTGAGTCACGCTACAGACAAGAAATTTTTAAGTGACAAAACACGCACTCACTCAAAAATAATCATTCTGGGTAGATCTGTACCTCGTATGGAGTTCCCTGCCATCAGTGACTCTCCTCTTTCTCTTGGAGCGCTGTTGCTAGGGGCGAAGCTGTATTCGTGCAAGTGTGAGGGCAACTGGCTGATTTTGGGGGGCATGGTAAGGGAATTCACACAGAAGAACATACAGAGGCTTAAACTTCTCTCTTTGTGGCAGGTGGTGGCCAGCCTGAGGCAACCATGTGGGGACTGACTTTCCTCTTTTGCACACTGTTGCTTGATAGACTCCCTTAAAACAAGAGTATTGTGTACTGGAGAGAAAACAATTAGCAAGCACAAAAATTTCCTCTCCTCTCTGAAAAGGTGAAAGACTGTCTTAATGAGAGGAGTGGTCAATCTTTTAGGGGTGTAATTGTGAGCTGCTGTCTTCAGTGAGGTATGTGATACTGAAAAGCCATTAGGGGTTTCAGCCCAATGCCAATTAAGTGTTGACCCTTTTTTCCTTCATGTCGTTACTCTTATGAGCTCTGTGTGACTAATTTTCTACATGTTTTCAAACAAGGAGATACATGATGTGCCAGGTTTCACAAGAAATGAACACGATCATCCCTGGGAATCTTCTCTGACAAACAGAGATAGTGAATCAGTTTTCCTATGTTACATGCTGTTACTGGCAATTGTAATCACAGGAAAAAAAAAATAAATACTGAAGAAAACACTACAGTTTGCACTATGAAGCTGAGCCCTTCTTACCTTGTTGGGAAAAGTTAGGTTATCATAACAGCTGTCCTTCCTGTTCATAGTCTCAAACTCGCAGTTTTTCCTGTCAGACTTGGAAGTAACTGCGACCTTATCATCAAGATACTAAAGAGAAAAGTTCTTCTAAGCACTGAAATGTGAAAGGAGTCAGGGTATTTTCATACACAAAGAAATAGGACTTTTTTTTCATACACAGTGTTACATATTGGTATGGTTTTACATGAGTAAAAGACCTTCACAAAAAACAAAAGGCAGGAATTCACATTCTTCCTTCACTCTCTTATTTGCACTTCGAGCATTTTCCAAGCAAGCCCATGCTTACCCCTGACACTTTGGGCGCCCAGTTTTATGTGTTTCTTTCTGCCTGTAGGAGAGAAGCTGCAGAACAACAGGCACGAGGCTGCAAATTAATAGATGCTTCTCCGACGCTATTGTCAATATAATTTTTGAATTACATCACTTGAGACCTGTTTACATGCTTACCCTTTTCCAGATGAACTTCTGGGCATCAGAGGGAGCTTTCACCACCTATCATATCCCACTGGAATCCAACTCACCAATTTTAGCAATAATCTTTTTTTTCGATTTTGTTTTTAGCACCAGGCCGAACATGATCAAATTCTCGTCAGCTCCCAGAGGCCTCTCTTGCTGTCTGCTGTGCTTTCCTGCCAGGGTCCGCAGCCTGCTGCACATTCTCAGACTTGCTGATGAGTCACCCGACACGGGAGGACGTGAGGATGGAGCCTGCTCACTGGCCCCTACAGCTGAAAGCCAACACTGGTTGCTATTTAGATCAACAGCAGGAGTGTCAGTGTATTTGCAACATTTTTAAGGATGGTTCAGGAAGCTACAAGTCAAAAAAATATTCTTCTTCCCCAGTCTAATACTGGCTTTGCAGTGTTTACAAACAGCTGTTGCAACAGCCCCAAGCTCCGAAGAAATATGTGACACATCTGAGAATCTGACAGTCAAACCCAGCATTTGTTCCCCTGCATCCCTTCTAAGGACTGGCGTAACAGGAGACGTGGTCCGTGCGGTATTTGTCACTGTGGCAGCTGCTTGCACGGCAGTGGCAGTCGCTATGTGATCGCTGGCTCTGCGCCTTGCTGCAGCCAGGAGAAAGTGAGCCTGCAGGCAGGGGGGCGAGAAGCCCATTACCAATGCAGTGATAAAAGTAAAGGGGTGCATGCAAGGATTCTGCTACTGAAGTGCAAGAGGCAATAGCACAAGGCTGGAAAAGGGGGGGTGCAGCAGACCCAGATCTTGCAAGGTCTTCAGGAAAATGGCATCAGGGCTGCTCTTTCTTTCTTGCTCATCCTGACATCCTGTGAAGGGCAGTGATGTTGACATGGCAGATAGGATAGGCGGTGGAAGCCCAGACCTGGTGTCGCCTCCTTGGACATGCGTGGCATCAAGAGCAGCAGCAGCCGTGTGAGCAGTGCCATTTTGCTCCCAGAAAGCATATTGTACCAGCAATGCAATGTGCACACAAAACTGCATGGCAACTGTTTCACTAGGAAAATGAATCAGAACAACTAATCTGAATTCGGGTAAGGGATGAGCCTAGGTGCACAGAACATATTAGGGAGAGAAATGTCTGTACACAAAAAAACACCAGAACAGATTGATCAGTGGCAATGTCCAGTAAAGGTAGAGAAACTTCTATTTTATTTTATATTTGGACATGGCTTTTAAGATATTATCTGTATGCTACATTCTCTATATAACATCAATAGCTTGTGTTTGCACTACTGGTGAAATTCTACAGCTTTTAAAGCACATGAAAAAAAAATATTCCTGCCATTTTTTACATATGTAAAGTTTAGAGCAAATAGATGTCAGTACTCAGGGATATTTTCACTTTTATCCCATTAAACTTTACAAACTTTACTGTATTTCTGAATTCTTCAGAGAAGCTTCAAAATTCACAAGTTCATACATTTCATAGAGCATCTGCTGTGAAAAATAAAGAGATTGTGACTTTCAGTTTAAATAACTAAGATTTCCATTATTAAAAATAAAATCCTTGTTATTCAAAATAAAGCCCAAAATAGTTAGCATGGGAACAGCATTAAAAAAAGCTAACAAATTTCAGAATATGCAGGAAAATTGTACAAACTGGACGGCTCTGTTTGGTCCATTGGAATTATCCATGTGGAATGTGTAATCACAAATTAGGCATCTAGCTGGTGTTGGAGTCTGTAGGAGTTATGGAAAGGCATGGAGCCCTAAGGTACAAAGGGACCTGTTAAAGTTCCTTTTAAATCAGCTTAATTCTTGTATATTCAAAACAACTAAATTATTTTCAAAGGCTGTGCCACAGAAATCATTTGGGATTCTAAAAATCTACTAATTGTAGTGTTTAAATGGATATTAGAGGGAACTCTTGGATAGATGGAGAGCATGAAGGGAGAAAAGGACAGAATTATTTGGTCCAGGGGACCAGGGGATACAGAGGACCAGCTCTTGACAGAGAAGACTTCTGGAGAGGAGACAAAAAGCCCAGAGATGTTGGTGACAGTCAGTGACATGAGGATGTTTCAATTGCATCTGAGGTTTCTTCAAGCCCTTGTGCACTGAAAAGGAAGAATAAATTTGCATGTCTCAAATTCAGTGTGAATTTTGCAGAGCCCTAGTTCAGTAATCTAAGTTTCCCAAAGCTCACTTTTGTTAACAGTATCATGTTTAGCATCTTTCCTGCAGAGATTGCAAAGCTTTATCAGTGATGCTCTGAGAGCTTGCCTTTTCATGACAGACTGCAAAACAGAGGCATAAAGCAGTACAATTTAGTCTTGAATTCCTCCAAATCACCTGTTGGGAAATGGCATCATCGTGACACTGGCAACTACAAAACACTGTTCATGCTAGGTAAAGATGGAAGGAACAAACCCCTAATCAGAGAGTGTTCTCATTACAGGTCACACATCCTGAACTGAATCAAGAAGTCAGAGCACTCTGTTTCTGCTCTTTTTTTTTTTTTTCCTTTTTTTTTTTTTTTTTGCCAGCCAAATTATATGGATATGATATGGAGATTTGGGGTTGTGCAAGTGTCACATTCATACTGTTTCTATTTTTTTCACAAAAGTTCTTGTATCACCAGTAACGCTCTCACTCCAAATGAGGGGCTGGCAGCTTGGGACTGCCAATCTTATACAGTGAGGATTGCTGGTACTGTCGTACAAACAAAATTTTTAGAGAGATGTTTTGTAGGATAAGTGGACTGAGAGGAGCACCACCTTGAAAGAATGGGGTCTGGGAGCTTGTGGTCAACTTAAATGTAGCTCTGACTACTGTACAACATTTTTAGCAGAATCGTTCAGGGAAAAAGAAAATACAAAAGCTCTATCATTTGGAGAAATGATGTCTAAATAAAGGTGCCAGTCCTTATAGCTGGTTTTTGCTCTTTTGCTCTGTTGCTACATGAGCAAATTTAGGTGAAGACTTTTGCCCAGAGTTTCAGCAACAGCTCTGCAGCTCTGCCCTGCCATGACTGGGGCTTCCTAAAGTTAACCTATAGCATTATATCCTATTGCAGAGCTGCCCTATAACCACAGGACTTGTGGCTCTGCCAGTGTCTGGTGCCTGGCTGAGGCCACAGAAAAGCACCCTTCACCTTCAGGTCTAAGCGAGAATGGTCAGGGCTGGGGCTTCCTCTCTTTTTTATTGCTTCTTTAGTTGTCATGGTTATCACTTGACACCCTCTCCAAAGAAAAAAGAAAGAAAGAAAGGAAAAAGAGGCACATTTGTGTGCAGAGGAGAATGTTCACAAGGGGCTGAAAGACATTTCTGACCCACAGCCTCTGGACTCTCCCCGCAGACTAATAGGCTGCAAGCTATAACCAAAATGTCACTATTTTTAAGGTGTCTGACTTTTACCTGCCTCACATAATGGTCACTCTGAAAAGGATTTTGGCAGCCAGCTGACCACTAAGTATGAAGCTGACTTGTATTATTTTTATTTATTTTACATTGTGGTCAGGCTTTCACTTTTTTTTTTTTTTTAAGAAACACTAAAATAATAATAATAAATAATAACAAAACAACAACAGAAAAGAGGCAGAGGGAGAAACAGTACAGAGCCAGAAGGACGCACACACAGTCAGGAGGGAACCCCATGATGGGCTCTGTGGGGTGGCCCTGCGTGGGGCGGCCCAGCCCCGGCCCTGTTAGCTCAGCAATTTCCTGGCGGTCAGCTTGTCTTGCCATAATCACAGGCTGGCGCCACAAGTGCGTTTCTTAACTGCACACTGTGCCTTGTAATGAATGTGTACTAAAATATACCAAACCACTCTGATCCAGGAGCAGCCGTGACCTCAGGCTTGACAGCTCAACACCATATTTGCTTATATAGCCTGCCAGATAAAAAAGATGCCAGCTGCAATGAATGGAGTGTTTTCTCTCTATCTGTGTTAATTTTATGGTACGTGGAGTATGACTTATTTCAGTCCCACTCTGCTCTTTAATTGGCCTTAGGCTGGGATCTTCTCTGGGCTACCAGCGGTCACACAGCAGGCTGTGAAACAGGGCTGGCCTGAGCTGATACAATGCAACAGGCAGACAGCACTTCTCTTAGGGAGAGAAGTTTCCATTCCTTGCACAGGTGCACACTTTCCCTCTCAGCACAAAACTTATCGCAGATCCAGATACGAATGGGTTATATTAAATTATGTAAAGACTACATTGTTCTGTCAGACTTCCTTACAACTCATAAATAAACTGTTTGAGCTTTAGAGACCTCTAAATGTAAATTCAGGATGCTCCACCATTTCATAAAGGCTCATACACCACAACCTTCTATCAAGCTCAGCAGGATTCCCACTTTTTCTCTCGCTTTTATGTTATCAAGAGGAACAAGACACAATATCAGAACCTTTATCATACACAGTAATAATTTAAATAAATGTAATATAAAAACCCACTGAAAAGTAACATACAGAATCCCAGCAATGTTGATCAGGGCAACTGAGATTAAATTCAGATATTTTTCTGCAGCTGTTCCGACATGGTTTGCATGCAGCTAACATGAGGAATCTCTGAATGCAATTTTCAAAGTACTTGTCACTTTTTTTTTTTCTTTCCCACAGACATGAGACTGTAAAGGAGACATTATTCACATGAAAAGGTTCCTAAAAACACCTTGTATTTTGGTAATATTAGCTGGAGCAGCTGTTATTAGAATCCTACGACAGCATTAGTGATTAGTCATCACTAATAAAAAAGTTAAGGAGTTTTTACAAACCTGCTTTCACAGTATAATTTACACAATAAATTTGATGGGATAATCTAAATATGTTATTTTATTTGTCTTGTGTTTGAAGAACAAAGTCATTTTCCAGCTTATTTTTAGGCCTGGAAGGAACAATGCAGAGCGCAGCTATGCATGGTTTCTCATCGGGTGGATGCACACAGCTTGCCCTGGAATTGGTAACCTGGCAGAACTTATTGCTCTGATGAAGAAATTCTTGCCCAAATTTCTTGAGAATAACAGGCACAGTCCATTTTCTGCTGCTTTTCCTTTGTGACACTTGCAGTCTTACTTTAGATTGAGGTGCATCATTCTCCTCATAAATCCCATGTCAGATTGCTGGATGACATTAATTTGAGCAGGCAGCTGCACCCTGATTCTGGCTGTGAATTTGTAAGAAAGGTTTATTATGGAGGAATTCCTCTAAATTTACAGTTCCATAAGGGAGGGCAAGTTCAGGTTGGGCACTCTGGTGTGGTTTGGCATGACCTGGGAAGACAAAGATTAAGTTGAAGTGTTGTCTATCAGAATGACGTGGCCTTTGGTCTGGCTGCAGTCTGTAAGGTATATGCTTCTTATGCACAGCTCTGAGGATAATCAACCTGCCTGCAAGTACTTTAGAT